TCCTTGAATGCCTTCAGGGCCCTTTTGGCCAGCGGGAGAGTTGTGAGGTTCGAACTCCAGTAACCTGAGGCTGACAGCTTTGTGGAAGCAGCCACTTAATGGACTGAGCTAGAGCCAGGCCCCCCAGCAATCAGTTATTAAAAAAAAAAAAAAAATACAGTTGTTTGTGGGCAATTTTCTAGATGAAAGAAAATCAAAAAACCAATAGAAATAAAACCACAGAAATAAAAGTCCAGAACTGATAGTCTATTTTAGTGGCCCTGAAGCAAAAAAAGGAAAGCCATGTAACACAGTTAAATAAGTAGAAAACCACAGCTCCATAAAAAAAAAATCATCTATTTATCCATTTGGTGCCTAAACTTGAGAAAACAACCTCCACACTGGAGGAAAGTTTTTAAAACATCAAGACAGGCCTTAAATAGCACAGAAATTCCACATTGGCTAAAAAAGCTGAGTGTAAACTCTGCAGTTCCCATATTCCTAAGACATTGCATATTAGGACCCAGGCACTACACCAGGAGGCCAGAGATTTCTTTAGGCGCACTGGAATCACACAGCAAGCAAGCCAGCCAGGCAGGCTGTTTAAACTACCTTTGCTCCCTTGTCACCTTATATAAAATGCAGAGCAATGTACCTCCCACAAGGACTGAACAGGAGATGGCACGTTGTAACAGCTGGCACGAGTACTGCAATGACCTAGTGACAACTCCAATGGCCCTGACATTTCATTATAGGGGCAAAACAAATGAGTATGGGTTAGTGAATCTTTGTTCAACAAATGAAAAAGGGAAATTCCATTATGAAATGTTAAACTAGAAAATAAAGGTGATAGCGCTCTGTAACACATCCATTCTGCCAAAGCAGGCAAGAGTTCAAGAACTGTATCCCAAAACACCAAGTGCCGGGTGCTTTGGTTATGCCCTAGTGCCATTAAAAAGGGTGAGCTATATATCAAGAAGTAAAACCAGAAGAGCCTCTTGGAGAGAACTCCAGGTTTCTCTACACTCAGGAGCCGCCCGCACAACTGGGTGGGAAGCCGAGGGCGGAGCAAGGACCTGAGAGGATCACACTTCTCAGACAAGTGAAGACTTACCTATAAGGGGAGACAGAGTGCACGGCACCTCTTGTCTTCCTCTTACCAAGACATAGAATGCTGATTAAAAGGAACTGCTGGGGTGGAAATGTTCTTTACCTCCTGTTGTGTGGGCTGCACAAGTAGATACAACTGCTAGAATAAAATTAAACACTTAAGAAACTTTTTTAGGGCCCTAAGGCGCCCACACAGGCAGACAGTGGCTGGGGCTCCATCCCCTGGCATGCCTGCCCAGGGCTGGGCCCTGCCCCCAGGGCACAGCAATTGAGACTGGGTGTGGTGACACACACGCCTGTAAGCCCAAGGCTTGAGAAGCTGAGAACAGGAGGACTGCGAGGAGTGTGATCTGTGTAGGGAGACCCAACAGACCTTGTACTAAATACATTTTTAAACAACAACTTTTTTTATTCTGCCCCAATGACACAATTCGAAAAAAGTGCGCTCTGCCTTTATTGGAAAATGTGATAATTAAAGGTGGCTTAATCACATTTACATTCATTATTATAAAATGAATGAAGAAGGATCTGATCCAACTCAAAGTAACTGAGGTAAGATAATTCTTCCAACTTTTCAGTTGTAAAGAACGGAGAAAAAGATTTCTAGGCTCAGTAGAATAAGCGCTTGCCTGGCAAGTACAGGGTCCTGAATTCAACCCCCGGTACCGCAAAAAAAGAAAGAAAAAATAAAAAAAAATTTAAAAAAAGAAATTTTCTGTTATCACAGCCTAATAGAACGCCTCATTTTCTACTTTCAGTAGAGTCTAGGAATGGACCTGTACTTGGAAGCAGCATTCTTTCATCTGTTGGTCAAAACCTTAGTTTGAGGTGGAACTAAGGTGGAAAATTTACTTATTCACTGCTTGCCTTGCAGGTAAAAGGCTTGGGAAGAAGAAAAAGGTCACATATCACAGAGGTTTCAATTACCAAAC